TTTTAGCTCCCCACCCCCCTTATTTTATAAAATAGGTAAAATACTATTTATAAGATCATTGAAAGAAGAAGATAAATCATGCATAGCACATGTCATGAGGCTTTGGCATATAAAAGGCACTAGCTAAGTGTTCCTTTTCTGAAAGATATAGAGAAATAAGTTTTTTATGCAAGAGAATTGTTTTTTAAAATTCTCCAAAACATTAAAGCAACTTAAGAATACTCAATCAGTGGCAGTTTCTAACAGAGCACCACTGTGATTCATCCACTTTTGCTTTGCACCTCAGTAGGTAGGTGCACACAGTAAGTGTGTGTCTCTGTGTGTGTGTGCTCGCGCACACACGATTCGCACATGTATTTGTCTCAGCGTCCACAGACAATTCTTCTGTAACCTGCAGTTATGCAAAAGACATAGTGAGAAAGAGTTGGGGTCAGCAGCACCACTCTCTCCAGCACTTCCTGGCTGTGGATGCCATCAGAGATGCTAGCATAAATCTTCAGCATTTATCTACTGCTCCTCTATATTTTCAGCAGTCACTATCAGTTTCAATTTGTTGCTCAGAGATATTTTTCAAAAAACTGAAATACAAGTACTTATATAAACTAAGTTCAAAAAACTGAAATACAAGTACTTATATAAACTAAGTTTACATGAACAACCAATCAAAAGAGCATTTTAGACAAATGGATTCACTGATTGAGATTAAAAGGAGTCATAGATTCATACGACACAAATTTAAGAAAAACACAAAGATGAAATAAACCTGATCAAACTGGCAGTTATCAACTAGCACAACTCTCGGATGGCTATGGCAGCTCTTGAAAGGTTTCCCTTCTGGTTAGCTCATGTTGTGTGTTGCCTGGACAGAGAAGAGCTAAGGGAAATATCACTGAGAACACTACCACAATTAAATGTCCGTAGGATCACAGAAACCTACAATAAACAGTAATTGCAAAATATAGAACTAAATCCCCAAAATAAAATTTATCATCCCAATTCATCACTCATTAACTGTGCTACACTGAATGAGTTACTTAACCAAAGGCTGTTTCCTCATGTTTAATACCTATTGTAAAGCCTTTTTATGAACAACATCTCTTCTGTGTATTCTTGCCAAAATCCATAAGCTCAATGTAATCATGAGGAATCAATGGAAAAATCCACTGAGAGACATTCTACAAAACAATTAGCCAACAGTCTTCAAAAGTGATGAAAGACTGAAGAAAGTGTCACAGAGTGGAGAAGACATGGCAACTAAATGCAATATAGGATCCTGGATTTGATCCTGGACCAGGAAAATGACTAGTGGAAAAACCAGTGAAATGTAAATTAGGTCTATAGCTGAATTAATAGTACTGTACCAATGTTAATTTTTTGGTTTTGCTAATTATGTTATGATTATGCAAGACAAAACTTGGTGAAGGGTGTGCAGGAATTTTCTGAGCTAATTTTGCAACTTTATAAGTCTGAAATTACGTTAAAATAAAAAAAAAATTTAAAAAGACTTGTAATGAAAATTAAACACAAGATCAGATATTTAATATAATGACATTTTAAGACATGATTTCTTCATGTAATGGCTATACTTACAGATCATTAATTGCAGAAATAGTATGTTACTATTGACCAAACCCAGGCTAATGATGGCTAATACTGAAGCATGTTGTTCAACTGCACTACAATGTGGACATTTTATACTTCAGCTGAATGATTATAAATATTCTTGCAAAAATTCACTAACCAACAATATTTCACTCTTTGCACAATACAATCATGAATTAATGCTTAAAGAATTATGTATCTTGTGTTTGCCCAATGATGACAGGCTTAAATTTACCTAATGCCACCAGCATTTAAATAAAACATGTCAGGTTTTCATTCCTCTGACTCTGTGACTACTCTCATCTTGTCAGATTTCAACAGTTTTCTGTCAAGCAACACCTGGCAAAATAAACCATTTTCATATAAATTGCAGATATCCCACAATGAGTATGGTGTCATACACTGTTATTCCTGGACACCCCCCCCCCCCCACACACACACATACAGGCACACATACACACACCTTTTCTTTTTTTCAGTACAGGAGATGAAACTCAGGGCTTTTTGTATTGCTCTACCACTGAGATACATCCCAGCCCTTCTCTCCCTAACCTGAACAAAATCCTGCATTTAACATAAAGATCCCCAATGCCAAGTTTTTGTTTTGTTTTTTATACAAAAGACAATTGGGAGGCTGAGAGAGGAAAATAACAAATCCAAGGCCAGCTTCAGCAACTTAGCAAGCCCCTAAGCAATTTAGTGAGACCCATTCTCAAAATAAAAACTAAATAGGGCTGGGAGATGTTGTTCAGTGGTAAAGTGCCCCTGGGTTATGTCCCCAATACCCACAAAATAAATAAAAAATAAACATCCTCCAAAACATTAAAACAACTTAAGAATCACAATACTCTATCAGTGGTAGCTTTTAATAGAGCACCACTATCATTCATCCACTTTTGCTTTCTACCTCAGGGGGTAGGTACACAGCCCAAACCCAATAACAAGTAACTTATCTATCTCTTGGTTACTGATAAAATCACCCATATGATAAATACACATTTCTTTCTATTGTAATGTACACTTGAAAAATATTTTTTGTTTTTTACAAAGGTTATGAGGTATCATAAAAATGTCTAATGCATCTGGCTTAAGAATCCAATTCTTCCGTCACATATTTCTGCATCTGTTCACAAAATCCCTTTGACTTCAAAGAAGGCTTTTTGAGAGAAAAAGAAGATACACATAGGAAAAGTGGCCATAAATTTTTAGTAGTCCTTTCTGAGGCCATTTTAATAACAGCACCATAGGACAAGTATCTCTCTTAGAAACTTAAAATACCACAGACAGTATTAATGACTACAGGTTTGCAAGGAGATTTATGATTTCAATTTTTCTGGTTATAAAAGTAATATATATTCAATATAGAACATGTGAAAAATAATGCTTAAAGAAAACTGAAATTACTTTTAATCCACTATTTAGGAAGATCAAAACACAACAAAAAAGTTAAAAATGGTGTTTCCTTCCAACTTTTTTTTCAGTGTATATATTTAATTAAGTATTTATATGTAAACATAAAATTGTAATCATATTATGAATACTATTGTTATCTTTTTTTCAATTAGTCTTTCAAAAGACTGCATTAATCTCTCAAACCATCATTTTAAATAACTGAAATGATATATAGTTATACACTTAAGAAAAAATACATTTCATTCATACTCAAAGCTAAATTACAGATTTGGAAACACTAATATTGTTCTTGAAATTCTACATCTTGAAACAATCTAGATTAACAGTAGATTAACTTTAAGAATAACCCTATTCATAAATGCTACTGAAACTATAGTAGAGGTTTGATTTTTTTTTCATTAGCATTTATAATGATTTAGTGTCCTAATTTTCCTTGGGCAATCATTAGTGGGCTCTAATTTGTTTTTCTTCTTTCTTTGATTCTGTACTCTCAAGGCACAATTAATTCTTAGTTTGGAATGAAGGAAAGTTGGTGTCTAAGGTTTAGTCATTTTAATATGCCATTATCTATAAATTGTCAATTAGTTCTGGTTCTGAACAATCGAACTCCCAAACTTCAAAGAGAGTATTTGATGAAGTAAATTAGAATCAATTCTTACCTAACATTGCTTCCTAAAATTTAAAATAACATTTGAAGAGTTGTTTGCAGACAAAGAGCTTTCAGTATATTATGTTCTTTATCCTTACAAGAATTCTAAGGTTCAAAATCAATGAAGAAATGAGAAGTTTGGTAAATTAAGCAATTTATGGGATGATTAGAAAAATAAATTGAACTTAAATCTTTGTTTTCATTTACTCTCACTGGCTTTGTTTTGACTTTTTCATGTAGTCATAGATTTTCCAAAGCTCCAAAGTACGTTAACATGTCAATCAGTCCAACTCTTATTCCACTTGATCTGTTAAAGAAAATAAGCCCAGGGGATTGTGACTTGTCATGCACACAGCTAGCATGTGGCAGATGAGACCTCGGCCTTTGTTTCCTAACTTCTGATCTAGTGCTCTTTCGAACACACTGGTTACACTGTGACACCCTCACGGCACACCTACGCATTAATGACAATGGATATGCAAGTTGTCAGGAAATTACCTAATAATCACAGAATCCCACGTTCCCCTCTAGATTTCAGAATATATCTCCATAGATAGCGTGTTGTCAAAGTGTTTACTACTGAGCCTGCATTTAGAAGACATTTAATAATGTCTGAATGAATGAAACGGTAATCCCAACTCTGTTTTTCTCAGGAGAAAATTCCAAATACGGATTGACGGAAAGTCGTGCCCTGCTCTTAACTCAACTAGAATGATAGTAATAGTAGTGCAGTCAGGCGAAGGATAAGACGACTCATTGTGGCAACTTCCGGATATTCTTTCACAAAGCCTGACCTAAGGATCACCAAGAAGGAATGACAATGCAAGATCACTGTTTTTTAAAAATACCACACTGCCAGAGAAGGACAAGCGGCTGCACCCATCTAAACCACCCAGTTCTAACAAGACGCCTTCTCGAAGCTCTCCCATGGCTCCTGCCTTGCAGATGGGAAAAGAAAGGTAAAAGCATGGAACGACGAGCAAGAGAGAAGTCTTAGAATGACCAGGTGTATTCTCTAACAACGTGACACTAAGAACTGGCTTCCCGCGTTGCCTAGTAACAGCCGCCGCGCAAGGGTCGCGGGATTCAAGATGAGGTCACATGGTCAGGCGGCTGCGCGCTCCTTTCACCGGGAACCTTGCGTCATCACGTATCTTTGCAACGTTTCCACGCTCCAAGTAGGCGGGCAGTGATAGGCGAGTGGGTTTTAGAAGAGAAACGGCCCAGTACTCTCCCGAGACAGCGGGAAGAGAGAAATAAGTACAGGGAGAGGAAGGAGGATAAGAGGGAGTTCGCAGGATGGGAAGCTGGTGAGAGAAGGACCGACTTCGGTTACCTGTGGAGCGGGAGCCGGTTCAGGTCCTTTATGAAATGCCCGGATGAAGCTCCAGCACCCACGCGCCTTCCGCATTGTGAGCAGCGCCATCTTGAGAAGGGCGGAGCCGTGTTGTCCAGGATTACGTTTGCTCAGAGAGCAGTCTCAGCCTACAGCTGCTTTGGCTTGCTGCGCATGCGCATGTCCTGGGGTTGGTTCTAGCCGCTTGTAGGAACGCTGCCTGTTGGACTATTTGGGGGATTGGGACACGTTGCGAAGGTGCTGGACTTTTCCCCGGATTCCTCATTTTTATGTAGACTTCCTTGAGGGAAAAACTTAAAGGATATAAATCGTAGGCTGATTATATAAGTAGTAGCACTGTATACTGGGAAGAAAGGTAGATTGCTTTTTTAATCTTGGCCATCCAATGGCAACTTTCTAAATGTTGCCATAGAAATGAAGCCTCCTAGTGTTTCTTTTTCTTTTCTTTTTTTTTAATAGAACAATTTAATGGCTTTTTGAGACCTATGTGGCCTATTAACTCATTGGGTCTGCAAGCTTTGCTTAGTGAAGCTATAAAAAAACACATGTATGTGTTTTGCCATCAAGAAATGTACAACCTAATGGGTAACAAATCAACGATGTACACTGATGAAGTATTATAGAAGCAAATACAAGGTTTGAGCAGGACGGGTCATTAGGACTGTGGTGCTCCATCCTAGTCCAGAGGTTCCTTCAGGAAGAAGGTGATACCTGGTGAAAGATTGGGGTTAAATTATAAGACGCATTTATACAGTCCTGCACCTAAAAGTCTACAGTAAGAATCAGTAAAAGTATAATCGGAAGAGATTCTTCAGAATTCCTTTGTTTTGTTCATAAATTGATCCAATAAAATATTGGAGATTCCCAAGGGGAGATGTGGTAAATAAATTATGTAAGAAATGCCTATAGTATTAAGGAGCTGAAATCTAGCAGGGCAAGACAAAACTTGATAAGCCATACAATAAAATCAATAAAACAGATCAAGTTTTTTTGTTTGTTGAATTTGAGATTCTCCTGATAAGCCATACAATAAAATCAAGAAAACAGATCAAGTTTTTTTGTTTGTTGAATTTGAGATTCTCCTATTTTCAAACGTGATGCCCTTTAAATAGATAACATGAGTCAGGAATTTGAGAGAGAAGTTTGAACTACAAAACATGGTATTTGAAGCCAAGGGAATCTTTGAAGCCACCAGATAAGAGTTTGAGGTATAGAAATTGTCAGATGATGGAAATTAAGTAGTCAAGAAATACTGGAGAATTTAAAAGAATGTGGCATTACTGAAGGCCAAGATAGAGACCTTGCCAGGAGGAAGGATATAGAATATCCATTGTAAAATGTAGCTTTGTCAATCTAGTCCTTGGATGTTTGATATTCATATATAGAGCAAACATTACAGTCCCGATTTTAGTAGTTATTAGATTATGTGACCCTAGGAATTAGCAAAACTAGATTTCTGACATACTCAACCATTCAGATTGCAAGATAAAAATTTGAAATGAGATTGTAGTTCACCAAAAGCTGTCAAATGCATATCCACTTTATATCCTCAAGCAGTTCTTAGTATTACCTACTGAGACTCACGTGGCTGGTAATATTTTCATAGGAGATATTTCCAAGACTTAGGCCCACTAAAGAATGTTTATCAGAACACAAATCTGATTATCTCAATATACTGATCTTTAAAAATTGTAATTTTGCAAAATTTAAGACATTATTAGAAACAACAAAAAAAAAATGGCATTTCACACCATGGTGATGACCTAGTGTCTTGAATGTCAAGTCAGCTGGGTTGTTTCTTAGGGATGGACCATACAGTTTTTATAATTGTTTTAAGAATTTTATATTTCTTCCCCTCCCCAGCACCTAGAATAGTGCTGTGCATTCCACAGGGTAGTCACGTCTTTTAAATCTAAATTTGATTTTAACAAATTACACAACTTATTATGTAAGATTGATGTACATTTAATAACTAGAAGAAACAGTTGACAGCAGGAAAAAACAGGGGACCTATCAAAAGTGTACCAGTTCTGTTTGTAGTTTTTCATAGTAGCATTTTCATATTAGGGAAAGAATGAACAAAAGTCACCATCGTTAACCATCTATTAAGAAAAGCCATATACATGTATTTAGCCTACTTAAACATTTCTAATAAAGATAACCATGAACTGGGTGTGGCACATTACTTGGGAGGATGAGGCAGGAAGATCACAAGTTGCAGGCCAGTTTAGGCAACCTAGTGAGACCTTGTCTCAAAATTTAAAAAAATTAAAAGGTCTGGAGATTAGCTCAGTGGTACAGCATTTTGCTAGAACTCACAAAGCCCTGAATTTGACCCTCAGTACTTCAAATAAAATTAAATTAAAATAATGGTAAGCATGAATCTTCAGAGAAAGATTATGTGTTAGTTTACCTTCAAAGAAAAATTCTATAATACACTTTGGGAATGTTTCCATACAAAATGGTTAACATTTTAAAAGTTTATATAATAACAGTGGTAAATTCAGTTCCATGGAAAATTCACTTACGGAATACCTCATTCTCCAATAGTGTTGTTTAAATGATGCATTATTGTGTTTTATGAGTATATTTTATCACAGCTGTCACTTGAGTAAACTGAATAACTTCAGTAAAATGAAATATAAATGTATTAAAAGCAATCTTTAAATATACTTAAGATTAAAAAATGGTACAGTCCTATACTTATAGCATATATTACATGTTTCTACATACCTTTATACTTTTGAACACTTGTTTAAAATTTGATTTCTCATCAACACTTACAGTAAGTTCTGGTAATTTTGTTCTCTTCTTAACATTCTCTGCAAATCCTCCCTCACTAGAAGCAACAGATTAAAACCAGACTAGCAATTGAGGAACAGTTTCTATTGCAACCATGTGTGTCAGAAAAAAAAGGATTAGGTTTCCTTGTCCGAGAACATCAAGGGGAACCTCCACTTCTGCAGACACACCTCTATTCCTCAGAAATGGAGGGTTTATACCTAGTTAGATTTAAGTGGGATAAGAGAAGAGTTTAAATCCACTCTTAGCTAGTAGTATAATCAGCCCTCAAGTCTCAAAGTATCCAGTTTTGTTTCTCTAATTTAATTCTAAGTGTCAGGTTGGTGTTAGATGCTGATCAAGGTAAATGGAGAGTTGCCCTACACATTTATTCACTTAAAGAAGAATTTTGTAGACTGCAAAATCTAGATGGCAATTGTATTCAAAACTTACTTGAAGCACAATCTACTCACCTCTGACCTTTCATTTAAATTGGATGTGTTTTTCTAACAGAGAAGGAGATTCCAGAATGGATGAAATCTTTCTTTTTATAATTCTGGGGGTACAGCCGCAAGGCTCTGGTCATGCCATCTTATGCTGGACCCATTTGAAGGAGCCAAGTCAAAGTGAGGCAGTTGTTAGTGGGATTCTACCCTTAGGGGAGATAACTTCTGAGAGTCATTAAAGTGTGTGGGAAACTAATGATTTGGTGGTGGTTCTTTTTCAGCTTTGGCTTAACTCTGATTCTACCGCTCATTTTATGGTTAATTTAACACTTAAAAACTTCATATAATACAAGGGTAAATTTTGGTTCTGTGGAAAATTCACTTATGGAATACTTCATTCTCCAACTGTGTCATTTAAAACTCTGTCATTTTAATGATCTTATTTTACCATGGCTGCTGTTTGGGTAAATTAATAACTTAAATGAAATATAAGTGTTGCACTAAAAGTAATTTTTTTTTTTTTGGTACCAGGTATTGAATCCTGGGGCACTTAACCACTAAGCCACATCCCCAGCCCATTTGATATTTTATTTAGAGACAGGGAGTTGCTGAGGCTGGATTTGAACTTTTGATCCTCCTGCCTCAGCTTCTTGAGCCTCTGGGATTACAGGAGTGTGCCACCCTGCCTGGCTAAAAATAATCTTTTATAGTTGATGAACCTGGTCCACAGATATTACTTTGACTCAAACCAAAGAACAATACAAGCAGAAATCAGAGAAACCTCTGTCCTCAGATGAGTGCTGTACTTTTCAGTGACAGCACTGTAAAGCTGAAGAAGTATGGCAGGAGATGGTCCAAGTGGAAAAACGTTTCATAGAAAATGACATTCTTGTGTCAGGCTTCAGAGTTAGAACAAGTTAATATCTCATTTTTTAAAAAGCTGATGTTTACCTCTCCATCCCTAATAGTTAAAAGATGCTCTTTTCCTACTAGAGAGTGCAAATTAGTGTAACAGAAGGCTTATCTTGCATTTGGAGAGACTACTTAGCAGTTTTAAGAAAGGCATCACTATTCGTTTCTTTCCAGAAGATGTCATCTGACAGAATCAGAAGAGACAAAAGGCTATGAATAGCAAAATGTTTTTGTTTTTTTCCCCTCAGAGTCCTTTTCCCCTAGAATAAAGGGGGAATAGTTTTTGAGTTATCAGATTCAACTTTTTGTCTTAAAAAGTCTGACTCCCACTCTTAATACAATGAAGTAATTTTGATTTGGGTTAGCAGAAGGTGGTGAGGGTGGGTAGAGATGGGGCAGACTGAAGTGAATAATTGGCATTCATTAATCTTCAGAAAACGGACTCTGTTGATTGGAGAGTCTTCAGTGTGCAGCACCCAGAGGAAACCGAATTATATAGGAATGTTGTAGGGCTGGAGTTCCTGTTAATGCTTCATGTTTTCTCCTTCATACTCTTTTTGAAATAACCATTTCAACATTAGAGAACTGGTCTTTCAATGGGACAGTGAGTGACTTGCTCCCTTAAATGTGTATCTATAATATAACAGTTTTGGAGAATTACAAGAGTACTTTCAATGTTCCCCATCCCCACTATTCATCTTCAGTATTAGGACATATATTCCATGGAGGAAATGGAGCAAAATTAAACTTTGAAATAGTATTTTAGTTGATTGGCTCTCTGTGCGTGGTATATCTTTTCTAGATGATATAGCCCTAAAGATAAAAATCTATATACTCTCTTCTCACATTGTATTTTTTAATCAGCCTTAGCTCCCAGGTACTTCATAACAGGGGAACAGGCTTCCCACTACCAAGTTTGTCTTATACATAGAAAACTTTTCAGCAAGGTCTTTAAAAAGCTTCCCAGAATGGCTTTTAAAGAGGCTCTTTTCTGTCTTGTCTGTTTGATCAGACTGCATTAAGTCCCATTCCATACCCTATCTACCTGATGTGATTCTAAGATACTTGCTGTGACGATGGAAAGTCATATGTAATGCTTAGATCTTGATCTTTGTAAAAAACAAGAGTAAAATATATTTTGATCCCTCTAAAAATAGAGCACTAACCTCACTGTCACAGTCAAATTCCATTTCAGCCAGTCAGATTTCACTGGACTTTCCAAAACACACTGATAATTATGATCAACTATGTTTATCTTCACTTTTTCTCCTTAATAAGTAAAACTGAGCATTAACTTGGAAAAATTTTTCATGCTAGTCCCATTATTGATCTCAGTGAACCATTTAACCATGTGCCCCCTTATCCTTTTATGTAGAATGAGTGAAAAACTAGGATGGCTGGATGACATACATTGTAACTCTTTTGGTTCTTGACAAGGGTTTTTGATATGTCCCAATTTAAAGTGTTTAGAGATGCAGAAATACTGTTATAATTAGGATTCATGTGTCAGAACATATCTGCTGACTCCATGTCTATGGAAGATACTGAGATGTGGATATTGAGAATGACCTGAAATTTTTTTCAAGACTATTACGGACAGCTACAGTCAATCAAATACATTTTTCCTGCTTCTCATCCTGCTTTGGCAATGTTTAGGTTAATGAAAGAAAATATGAAATTTCTCAACCAACTGTGAGCATGAATGGTCACCCAAAGATCTCTTTTTAAAGGTTCAATAGGAAAAATATCTTGACCTGTCTTCATTCTCTCTAGCTTCTTTAGGTAGACATTCCCTGAGCTCCCAGCAATTTTTTTTTCTCAAAAATTCTCAGATGTTATTATTTGATAATTGGCAATCACAAGGACTTGTATGACAGCTGCTAATCTAATGACAGTCTTGGAGAAGGCTACCTAATAAGCCTTTAGGAGAAGTGCCACAGTATGGCAGGCATGGGGGACAAGGTGTGTGCCAGGGTGGGGGAGAATAAATCCTCCTCTCACTGTCTGATCCTCTGCTCTTTTGTTTCTTCCCATTTATTGAACCTCAAGGCAAAGGATCATAATTTATCAGGCCCATAAAGTTCAGGCCCTCCTCCTACATCAGAAGTACAGAATTAGGATGAAAAATTGTAGATAGTAGATCTGGAAAGACTAATGCAAATTCTCAGTATAGAACTACTATCTACAACAACTAGAAATGTAACTGTAAAAAACATGAAAAAAAATCTAAATCATCTTCAAATAATTTTCTAATCAGGCATTAAACTGCTGGAAGGCATGACCTTCATCATCTTGGACTTAGCAGAGTATTTGGCACATCAAAGCCATTATTGAACTCTTGCTCAGTAAATACTGACAGATTGATTAAATGAACAAATGAACACATGTGCAGAGGAAAAGGGGATGTGCAGAGGGATATATTAAAGATAGTACAGGGAATTGGGGGAAAAAAGGTTTTTTTGAGCCTAAGATAAACCCTGGAAGCATTTAAAAATTCTCTGATATATGCTTACTTTCTTGTGGTTTGCTCTTTCCACTAAAAATCAGAGTGCATAAAATATTCTGATTACTTGGGGGTTATTACTTAGATTCCCACTAATGTTTTATATATAAATCTAAATTACTATTCTTCCTCTGTTCTGTTTCCCTTTCTGTTTGGTTAAATCCCTGTGGGAGGGAATAGCATTCCTGTGGTGGGTAAAATAATTTCTATGGAAATTATTCAAAACACAATTTATGTAAACACTGAAGATATGATTCATTGCTGGATCCAGACCTTGTGCTTGCATCATCTCCTCATTTACCGTCAAGTTCTTGGTGGCCGGCATCTCTTTATAAGGCTCTGTCCTTATCAGTTGTGCATGGAAAAGGGTGAACTTCCCTTTCGAGGGCTGAGGCGGTAAGAAGCAAGAGAGAAAGGACAGTTTTCCAGGAGGTAGTGGTTGCACTAAAAAGAACACTGGACCTGGTTCCCAGTCCTTACTTTGCCATAACCAGCAAGGTGACCTTGGAATGGCCTTTACTTCTCAGCCTGTTTTGCTCTCTGAAAAAAAAAAAATGGAAATGGTTGAATCAGATGGTTCTCAAAGTTCCTTCTAACCCTTCACTCTACAAGCTTATGCTTATGTATTGTGTAGTTTTTTTGAATCCAATGATCCCCCAGTAGTTTAGAAATATTCTCCTACAGACTGACAGACTGAAACTGCCCTCTCATTTTGATATATGGTTCCACTGGGACCTGAGTGATTCTTTAGTTACTACAATGTGAATCTGAAGAAAAACCAGAAACTGTTTCTTGGGTAGTCTAGTGTTAAAGGAATTGAACGAAATTGTGACTGACTAGAAAAGAGTGTTAATGAGAATATCATAAGATAATACATTTAAAATAAATAATGAGTCTTATCACGTGTGTTCTGAGGTGGGGATGGGGCCACTTGAGAGTCCCCATATATAATAATATTAGCATTAGATACCTCTGTCTGGGCCCACGAGGTCACTGACAGATGTGCTGACAGGTCACTTTGATGTGTCAAATGCTCTGCTAAGTCCAAGATGATGAAGGTCATGCCTTCCAGCAGTTTAATGCCTGATTAGAAAATTAATTCGAAGATGATTTAGATTTTTTTCATGTTTTTTACAGTTACATTTCTAGTTTTTGTAGATGGATAGTAGTTCTTTGAGAACATTCTACTTGAAATCTACGGATTGGATGTGGTTTGCTGTCTATTTATTTTATCCCTTTTATCCCAGAACTGCTTGGGGATAATGGAGAAAGGAAAAGAAGGGGTTCTCAAACTCTTAGTTTTACTGTGCTAGGAAGAACCTACTCCAATGCTATTGCCACTCCTTTTGTTTAAAAAACAATAAGGTCTCTTCTCTTAGAACCCTCATAGATTCTTAGACCCTTCCAATTATATGAACATTCAACACTGCAAGATGGTGAAAGGGTAGAGTGGGAAGATGCAATGCTAATAATAAACAATTACAGATTCTTTAGGAGCTTGGTGTTCCATTATTTACTCACCTAGCGAACACTTACTAGAAGTCTCTCATGCACACAAAGCTGGATAAAATACTATCCGTACTCTTCAAGATCTCAGTTTACTGGAAAAGAAAACAAACAGCAGACAATCTCAGGAGAAGTGTCTTTGTGTCATGATGATCTTTCAACTTCCTTAGATCATTTTATGGGCAATACTGGACTCACCAGTTACAATGTATGTGACCTTGTATATGCTCTCTAAGGGTTCAGGACCCCAGTTTCCTCATCTGAAAATGAGAGCAAAGGATAACAAGTTCCCTGAGTTCCACTATAGCTCTAAGACAAGTACTGAGCTAGGTCTTAAAGTACTAAATAGAATTTGGAACTGGAAAGAGAAGCAGCCATGGATATGGACATGATGTAAAGAAAGATGATGGTAAAGAGAGTAAGGAATTAATACATCTTCCTGCTTCCACCCTTGTCTCCTCCAGTATACCCCCAATCAGCTTTGAACCACTGAAATGCAAGTCAGGTTACAGCCACTCTGTATTCAATCCTCCAGTGTCTTTCCATATCATTTGGAAAAAATCCAAAGTCTTTATTGAAACCTAGGTATTAATCCACTTTTCATTACTATACGAAAATACCAGAGGCAGGCTACTTTATAAAGAAAAGATATTTATTTCAGCTCACAGTTCTGAAAGTACCAAGGTCTAGGAGCCTCATCTAGTGACTGCCTTCTTGTTGGCAGTCTCAAGGTAGCACAACTATCACAAGGCATGAGATGAAGAGCACACATATGTTTGTGTTTGGTCTCTCTCCTCTTACAAAGCTAGCAGGATTCAATCATGGGGGTTCTACACTAATGACCTTATCTAATTACTAGCCACCTCCCATACGCCCTACCTCTAAGCACCATAGTCAAATTGTTTCCATACTCTTAATATCTCACAATAAGGATTAAACTTCAACACATGAAGCCTTGGGGGACTCTCAAAGTATATCCAAACCATAGCAATCCTTACAATCTAAATGATCTTTAGTCTTCATCCCAACCTCCCTCTGTCTCATTCCCTATTGCCTTCTCTCTACCTTGTTCTACTTCACAAACATTTGTCACCACCTAACATTTTTTTTTCATCCTCTACAATATAAGCATAAGATCGGGGACTTTTGTTTACCTTGTTCTGTATCTCCAAAGCTTAGATAATGCATGGATGATAACATGTTTATTGAATAAATGTTTTCAGTTTACAGATAAGGAATCTGATCAAAGAAAGAAAGTGAATGAGGCCAAACTTTTACTTTAAATACAGAGAGAGTCTGGAGCTATACAAATTTCTCTCTTTCTTTCTCTCCCCCACTCCAAAGGCTCTGTGGTAGACAAAAATAACTGGCCCCTGAAAGGAAAGTGACCACAACACTCGGAGCAACCAAAAGATCTTTATTGCAGCAGTGCAACAAAGAGAAAGGAAAGAAGGAAAGAGAGAGAGAGAGAAAAGAGAAGAGATGAACAGGGAGAGAGCAAGAGCAAGAGAGAGACAGAGAGCGCGCGTAAGAAAGATAAAGAGCAAGAGAGAGAGAGAGCAAGAGAGAGAGGGAGAGAGAGGGGGGCCTGGCAGGAGGGAGTTTTTATAGCCCAAATCTAATGGGGCTTCTGGGTCTGCAAGCTGCCTTGTTGGCCCAAGGGGGGTTGAGTGCTCAGCCTTAAGCGGGACTTGACACAAACAGGTGATAAAGGACCAGATAGAGGGGGGTTTGAGTGCGTGGGCTATCTTGCAGCCAACATCTGTTCATCCTGCCCTGCAGACAACACAGTTCAGCCTGCTCTGCACCCAACATTCCTCCCTTTTTGTTTTTCTAAGTGACATGGGGGACGGTGTAAAGTCCTCTGGCTTCTTCCTGCTTAATGGTGGGCGGCGTTAGACCTAGAAGGGGAAGAGGAGGAATGTTCGGGGGACAGGTCTGAGAACACCAGGGCAGCCAGAAATAACACTCAGTGGCTACAGACAACTACTGTAGTAGGGGTAAAGTCCATAAAAGTTCCTTGAAGCCACAAGTCCTTGATGGCATAAAACCAGTCCTAGATGGAGGAGATTCTTGGTATCAGCCACTGGTCCTGTAGCAGGGACTCTAGGAAGTATTGGAGGTGGTTTGGTTGAATCCAGTAATGTTAAGGGTGACAGACCGCTTGCAGCCAGTGGAAGGGCAATCGCCTTGACCCATAAACTGAGAGTGGGTGGTGTCATCCTGGTGTCATGTCGCTTGGATGTAGAGCGGTATCTGTGGTTTGAGATAGAAACTTGAGAGAGAATAATGATTAGTAAAAGAAGAAGAGGGTTGGCAAGAAATTTTGAGTTTGGTGGGCATGGTGGAAGTCCAGGACTGGACATTTGGAACAAGTGCCTTTTTAAGGTGGGAGACATGGTGGTACCAGGGGGAGTTTAGGTTTGATGCTTCCTTGTGGGGATACTGTAGAGCAGACAGAATAAGCAGAGTGGACGTGCTGGAGAGTAGTTCTCATTCCTAGGAAGTGAAAGAGGGGTTGTGAAAATTGGAAAAAGGGGTTAGAGAGGGTTTTAGATGGGCACAATGTCTCTGGAGCCAGAGGAGTTGGTCATGAGTCGTAGGTATCCATCTTGGGCATCAGGGCTGGTAGTCTTAAAGAAGTACTTGATTGACCAGCTTGTTGGTGAATTTGTGTATCTGATCTTGCATGAACTTCTGTAGGCAATTTAATAGACATGGTTTTATTAGGAGAAACATAGAGAGGACTAATAGGGGTCCTGTGAGGGGGAGGAGCCAAGGCCATACTTAACTGAACATTCCCCATGGAGCCTGTTGTCTTAGTTGCTGTCTCCTCTTTTCTAGCTGTTCTTGTCCTTTATTACTCCCAGGAATGACTGTGTTTTGGCTTAACTGTTTTTGGTAGGTGTTTAAGATCAAGTTGGTCAAAATTGACTTTGTTTCTATCTATTGTTAAAAGTCAGCTGAGTTCCCATAGGGGTCGCTCGTGGGGGAACCTGAGAGCAGCTTCTTAGTTCTGCTAGTGCCATTTGCACTAGTATGGGTCCAGGTCTTGTTTGACCATGTGGCTTCCCTTGGAAGCATCAGGGATGTCTCCTGTCTCCAATGACCCTCCTATTCACAGCAAATGCACTGATTGGCTTTTCATTCTCCAGTGGTCTCATTAATCTCCCTGATCAGGAGGTTATGTGGCCCAGAGTTGCAAAGCTCTTTAGAGAAGTTCCCTGTTCCCTGGATTCAGACTGACTCAGAGGGCCAGAGCCAAATATTGGTTTTCTTGGCCATTTTAATTTAACTTTAAGTCTTGATCATAAACATCCAGCAAAGTCAGTTTCACCCTAAATTAAGAGTGTTGGGCTTTAGCTGAAGTCTGGCCTACTTTGGAGTCATTCTGACATGTAGTAAGATGGGAAGCACAGCCTTATCCCAGGTAAGGCTAAGATTTATAAATCTTAGGTAAAGTGTTCTAGTATTGAAGCTGATCTTTTTTTTTTTAAAAATATTATTTTATAAAGTTTATATATATTGTTGCTTGATGTCACATGAATACTAGCTAACACAATATGATATTACATTTAAATTGTACCCAGTGTATAGAACTTTATATTAATCTTATTGATAACAGGTCCAGTTATAAAACATTAAATGATATAAATAAATCTCCGATATGTTATTTTTATAAGCCTAAAATAACCATGTAACCTTCTGGAGAACACCAGCTTGATATAGTTTTTTAAAGCTTCTATCTTAATGACATATACCTGGAAAATATGAGCGCATTTAATATACAAAGAAGAGTAATAGTACCACAATTATTATTGATGTTTTTATATTAATCAAGTTTAGCTTTTAAAGAAATAACATATTACAATATTGCAAAATAACAGTTGTTGTTTAACCATAGTTGTATATACAGACCTTCTTTAGCACTTACTTTAACCCTCTTATTTACTTAACAGACTCTCTTATCCAGAAACACATTTTCCTTCTATTAAATCCATACCTAGGACCTTCTAATTTCTCTTTCCTATTTGTTAACTCTTTCTTTTTTTTACATTTTTAAATAATCCTTGTAAATTTCTGAATTTAGGCAAATTATTCCATTTTAATAAGAGATATTTTGTTATTTGCAGTACACAATTAATCACAACTGTTGACCATTTCATGAAAACATGAACAATGTTTAAGTATATAGAATTATACTGTTGTAGGAACAGACAAGGCAAGGCACCTAAGATAGCACTGAAGATAGGGAAATAGTTTTATTTGGTTGCAGCCGGATTTAGAGGGCACTGCTTCTGTTGTAATCAATTAATCCCCTGAACCCCAAGTTTAGGTTGTTTTAGAATTTTGTACCCAACATGTAAGGGAAGGGGCTCAGAAGTTCGCAGTCTGCAGAAGTTCACAAAAAGCAGTTTTTTGTTTTTTTTTTCCTCTGTTCTGGGCAAGTTAACCCTTCAAGGACACTTGGGAGGGGGAGAGCTTTTTTTTCCCTTTCTCTCCTCTTCCCCCCACCCTCCCCACCCCTGCCAGCTGTTATCATGGAGCCCAGTTGGTAACCTTCTTAGAAATGTAGCCTTCTCTGTGAAGCCCCAGCTCAAAGCCAGTGGCCTTGTTTTACATATTTTGTGAAAAACTAGTAAGGGGGTGTCTAACTTTTTGAGTGCTGATTTTTCCAGCCAGTGACCAAGTAAAACAGGGCAACAGGAAAATAGGAAGTTTATCTACATTGAACTTTTTGTAGAGATTCTTTTGCTGAAAGTCCTAAAATCAGCCATGGTGAAGATTTCTGGAGAAGGTCAGTTAAGCCTTTTCTGTGGGCCTGGGTAAGGAGGGGAAGACGGGAAGGCGGGGCTGAGAGCAGCTCGGTGGATCTGAGAATGAGGAAGGAGTGATGTAAAAGAATAGGATTTTCCCTAGCAAGGAAAACTTGAGCAGTAGAACAGGTAGAGCAGAGGGGAGGATGGGAGTGAGTATCCCAAAAAAGCCTGTAAGGGACAATTCTTAGTAACCTGTTTTCAGTGATGACAAAGCAACTTTAAAGGCCATTTTCACCAGATCTCTGATAGGGGTCCAAGGGCTCTCCTCAGCTGGTTTGAGTTTTGGGTTAGTTGGTAAGAGGACCTGGTGGCACCTGGTGTGGGCGCTGACAGGAGAAGAGAGGAGTGAGTGGGTGAAGGGATTCCTTCAGTACCTGCTACCTCAGAAAAGAGGCAATGGTTTGAGGAAAGACGGTTGTTTAGGTTTTTGATCTAGTGAGTGGAGAGGAGAAGTCAGGTTGTTCAGGTGGGGGAGACAGTGGAGGGGCTGGGGCAGAAGGTTGAGGGTGAGGACCTATTTGAGCCGGGCGATAGGGTAGAAATTCATCAGTAGGGTCAAAAGTAGTGGATGAGTCCGGAGGAGGAGGAGATTGGGGATCAGTGGTTGTAGGTGTTGGTTTGTAAGCTAGAAGAATTTGCAGAGGTCTGCAAGAGGTGCAGAGAGCACAAGCAAGAAGAAAGCTTTGATATAGCAGCTTTTTACCCATTTTTTCGAATGCTCACAGTAATTGTAGAGATCCCTTAGAATGGAGGGATCCAGAGACCCAAAAGGGGGGCCATCTGCTTTGGTTGTCTAAGGGATAAGTGGGCCAGGCCTGGGTGCTATATTTGATCAATTTTGGGGGTTTGATGTCTGGTGTCAAGGAGAGGGTTTTGAGGTTATCCAAGAGGCATTTGTAGGGGAGAGTCGACCGGCAGAGAGGACACATTACCCATGTCGCAAAGTAGTATAAGGAGGAGGGAAGGGGATGCAAACAGTTTAGAGGAGAAGGAAGGGGACGCAACCGTAGTATAAGAGAGAAGGAGGAAACTGATTTATTGGCAAAAGGGGCATCCCCGCTAAAGCCAAAAATCAGGAGTGCCTTAGTGGCAGGTTCGAGCTGCAGAGATTGGTCGTCACCGAATCCTGACAGTCGAAGCTCTCGTCCTGGACGGAGCTGGAGCCGTGGGAGACCTTGGCCAAGGCTTTTCTTTTCGGGACCCCTCCTGGAGAGGCCGGAGACTTGCAGAGCCAGAAAGAGGGGAAAGAGAGAGACAGGGGAAGAGGGAGGAAGGGGAGGGTAAGTGTCTGAGGACTAGGATTTTAGGAGAGCCACAGAGATAGTGAAGGTCTGGGTGGACTGTGATGTTCAGTTCTCTGTTATGTGTCCCTGGAGGTTACACAGTCCTTTGAGGGAGACCTACAAAGCCTATGCTGGTAACTAACAGCTGGGAAGGGAAGGGAATAATTTTGAACCCAGGAATCTATTCTGCCCTAGGAAGGAGTCTCTGAGGGCCACCGTAGCCTTGAAGGCTGTGGTGGGGTGTTTTCCTCCCCGCAGGTGGGCAAAGAGGTTTGCCGGACAATCAACGGCCAAATCCTCCTGACACCACCATTGGGTTTAGGACTCCAGGAAGGGGAAACTCACC